GGAAATACAGACTTGAGAAATATAGGACAAGGTAGAAACTGACTTGACTTGGATCCAGCTGCCCTGTGGTGTTGTTCTGCCCAGGGGAGATATGAACAACCACAAGGCCTTTTTCTGTTCCAACCTCCCAAGAGACTAAATGAGAGCCTTTCCCTTATAAGAGCACATGTTCTCACACAGAAGCCACGCCCTAAGGCCAGTACCCCAAAACTATTGGTGGAATGAATTCCCACAATGAAGTCATGTCGAATTGTTCTTTGTTCTAATTTACCCTTGTGGTTTTACTTTTAGGAAAGTGTCAGGAATTAAAAGAAGACCTTGTTATTCTTTCCATAATCTTATGTCTTCTAGTATTAAAAAGCACTAAAAAAGAGGAATAGTGATACATTCCTGAAATTCTAGCACTGGGAGGGCTAGAGACTAGAGCATCAGTTTGAAACCAGCCCAGGCTATATGTGACTCTGGATTTAAAAAAAAAAAAGAAAGAAAAAAAGCACTAACAACAAATGTTCATAATTTTTCATCTAGTAGGTCTTTCAACACTTCATAAGAAACAATAAAATATAATTGCTGCAATAATTTGATTTTCTATAATTTTGTCTCTATATAAACATCTTATATTTTTGCTGCTGCAATTGTCATAAATGGCCTTATAAGCCCGGAATAATGAGAAGTTAAATTGAATTCAGAAAAACCATTAACAATGTATTTCTGTGGAATCAAAAATACTTTGAGTTCAACTAGAACCTAAATGCAAAATTTAATGTTTTTTGTAACATGGCAAGTGTTTACAAGGTAGTAAACTAGTTAACTAAAATCAATATTAAAAACTTCTATAGTCTGTGTTGCATAGAACTATTTAAGCAATAATCAATTTTAGGAGACTATTTTTATCTGCAGTCATATGACTGCGTGTGGGTGTGTGCCTATGTAAGAGCTTGATGAAGGCAGAGGGTGGAGTTACAGTGTGTCAGTAAAAATCAAGATGACTTAAAAAAATCAGAACATTTCAGACAAGTGTGGCGCAAATTAGACATTCTGTGCACATTGCTCCTATCCTCACGCTACCTGTCACTAAGGCTATGTGAAAATATGTCCATTTGGCCCTGCTTCATTCACCTCCTCTGTTTATGTCACTGGCAGAGTCCCAAAGGAGTGGCCATGCTGCCCTGTGAGTCCTGTTCAGTTTCGTAGCTGCTAGGACAGGGACCTGCTCACACCAGTGCAAGAAAAAGGGGAGGGGTCGGGAAGCAGCAAAGCATGGGTAGGCATTGACAGACACAGGTTCATGAGAATGAAGACTGCAAGTGAGGCCATGCAAATCTCTTAGCTCAGGTCTCTCTCTTAGTCACAGTGGCTCCCACCCTGGACCAACTTCCTTTCCTTGCCCATTGTTTTAGATCTTTTATTGCCCCAACTTGCATACGACTTCTCATTCCCTCATTGTGTCGCATCTTCCATTACATTTCTACCACTTTTGCAATACCCTACTATAACATCTGAATGAGGAACTTGGTGCACCAGGATGTACTGTCAAGCCCTGCCATCTATGCCATAAGTGGGATTCAAGCCATAATAGGTCATCGTTGGGCCAACACAAGTGACTAGGCAGATGAATAGTGATTGTCTACTGTCTGTTTCTTTTCGTTATTGGATGTCCTTTAGCTATTGTTACCTTTCTAAAACTTAGAACCCAGTTCTAAAACTGGGTTCTGTGCTACTTTAGTCTCACTTTCATACTGTTCTGATTGTGCTTTGCCTCATGCTTTTTGATGCCTTTTTCTTTTTCCAATTCTCCTGTCCCCTTGTATACTTTCTTCTTTTGCTAAATCATAGGCTTCTACACATTTGAATATAGTTATACACCAGGACTTCTCCACCTAGGATGTCTGGAGTGTCTTCCCACTGCAGCCTAAGGGCCGTATAGGTGGAAGTTAGAAGGTTCATGAACATGATTGAAGAAAACAAAGATCACATCTTTGTGCTATCGTTGAATGCTAACTAAAAGACATCAGTTCCTTGTCTTATACATCTGAGCAGTCTATAGTAGCAACATTCTTGGTTTGTCACTATTAGAAGTCACAATAATCTCATGTTTTCAGATTGTTGTAAATGTCTTAAAAAATTTCCCCATTATTACTTCAAACCCATGGAGGCAATCTGATCTGTCCAGAATGCAGTTAGAAGGAAGCACATACCCGTACCAATATGAGCTTAAGATTTTGATAATTTTTTGTGATAGAAAGGCTTCCTTTGTAGTCTGATTTTGATTTCTGGTATGCCATTAAGAACATTGCTTTTTAAGAAAGGATCTGTCGACTTCATTATAGTGTTAAAGGGCCCTGATTTTCTCCCTGAAATTCTAAGGATCTTGACAGATGGTGTAGCTTGATCTCTGGGGGGAGAGCAAGCCCAATGTGACAAGGCAGCAACTTTGACCCACTAGTCTTGTCATCAAGCTTTACCTTCCTGCTCTATCTATAGATCAAAATTTAAGTAGCTCCAAGGCACTCCTCCAATTTGTTCTCCAGTGCTGGGTCTCTACTTTCCTCACTTGGTTCCTGGAATGAGAATATATTTAGTGTTGCATATAATCTCTAGAAATCAATTTGTTTTAACCAGGGTGAAAAATAAACAGTTATTATTACAAAAATCTTCAAATAGTTCTTGGAACATTACAGATTAAGTATGAAATTGTTTGGCTTCTTGCCTTTGTGTAAAATGAAAGTCATTTGTGAAGGCTTAAGCAAGTCAGAGAATTTATGATATGGAGACAGGTGTGACATCACCCTCCAGTCAGTGATAGCAGAACAGGTTAAACCAGAAATAGATTGGCAAGCTTTCTCTGTAAAGGGCAAGAGCACCATGGAGTCTTTTGTATTCTTCCATAAAATCTGTGGAATGTGAGCCAATGGAACTGTATTTGTAAAATGGACAGATGGCCAATTTGACAGGCTGTAGGTTGAAGACCCCATAACTTACAGCAAGGCCAGGGTTGTTTTCTGAAGCATCTGTAATTCTCTGTCTGCTTTACTATCCCCTTCTTAGTGGCTTGCTCCTTTAGCTTCTCTGGCTCTTTTAAACCAGACAACCAGACATGGCTTCATTTACAGCTAGCATTTCGAATATCTCCTAAGGCTCATGCATGGAAGGCTTAGTCTCCAGTCTGGGAGGCTCTATGAGAACATGGTGGGACTTTCAGGAGGCGAGGCCTAATGGAGGGAAGCTAAGCCAGGAGCTTGAGCTTTGGAAGCACGCTGGGTTCCAGCCCCCTTTCTCTTCCTTTGCTTTCTGGTGCCATGAAGTGAGTGGCCTCACCTTCTCCTTCTCCTGCTTTGGTCTTCCAGGCGGTGGAATAACAGGCCTGTGCTACCACATCTTGTTAAGTTATCCCAGGTGATTTGTCAGCAACAGGAAGATGACTAACACAACTCCTCAAAGCTACAAGTTCTATGTCACAACTTCATGCTGCCTGACTTCCCTGTCCCAATTCCAGGATGTGCTGACTGAGGAAATGACACAGACAATTTTTTAAAAATCCATTTTGCTCAAGATGGTTCTGAGTTCATCTGTTAAGCTATTCATCTTCATCGCTACATTAATTCCACACGGCAGGAAATGGTGCCTTTTGTAAAGACCCAGGCTTAAGCAGGAAATATTTATCTACTACTATGAAAATTATCTCATGTTTTATAAGCATGCATTTGCATGTTCATGATAGCAAAATTAAAGACCATTTACAGGGTGTTATGAACTACTGAATAGCTTATATATTAAGTTTTGACACTAAAGAGAAATAGAGTACCATTAGCACCGTGTGCTCTTTTACTCCACTAAATTTAAGAAGATCTATCACAAAAGTGAATTAAAATAATCAGTAGAAGGGCCCATGGGATGATTAACTGTGTGAAGACATTTGCTGGCTCATATGGTGGAAGGGGTGACTCTCACATTTGTACCCTGACCTCCACAAGTGTGCTGGGCTGAACAGATGTGCACACACACAAAATAAATAAATAAATGCAAATAAGACTGTTTAAAACATAAGCAACAAGGAAGAGTAGAAATTCAAACTATCTATAAACTTCAAAATAAAAGTCCTTTAAGGAACTATTTGTGCTAGAAACTTGGAAACGAGGGAGACTTTTATGACATGATTTCCTTCTCTCTAGAATTAATTAGCAGCATTCGCAGAACTCTGCTAAAGTCCCCCGTTGAAAGGGAAAAAGTAAATACAGTACTGTGAAGAAAACTGGTTCACTTCCACAAAACTGAGCAGCTTGGGCATTAGCCAAGTAAAAACAACCTGCTGGAGAACTATTGTAACCTATTAGTCACTACAAGAAAGCTTTCCCTATAATGGTATCCTCCTGGGATACCGCGCTGGAATGCCCAGCGATTTTGAAAAAGACACAGATTTGGCTCAATTGTAAATATCAGTAGGTGCACAGAGGCAAAGCATTGTGCAGGGTAGGGGGTGGTGTGGGTGGCTTTTGATTCCCAGTGTCGATAGAAGGATTTTAATTTCTCTCCGTACTCATTTTTTTCCTACTACAATTACAGTTTTGCTAAGAAAATAAAATACGGGTCATGCTCTGATCTGGGTTTCCAGTTTTCAGTGTCTTTAGAATAAAGACGAAAGCCTCTTTCATGTACCTAAGAAATTCCCTTTGCAAACTGGGCCTGGTGATACTTGCTTGTAATCCCAGTACTGGTGAGGCGGAAGCAGGAAGGTAGTGAATTTTGGGCAAGCCTGGGCTAACAATAAAATCACTTCCATGAGGGGGGAAAAAGCATGTTTCCACAGTTTCCAGGACTGCAAAAAATAAAACAAACAAACAAACAAACAAAACAGCTCAACTCACTGCCACCAGCCCAGGTTTCTAGAGAAAGGCAGCTTTCAAATAGTGGATCTCAGCGGCTCTGAGGTTGTTTAGGGCTGAGGATGCTCCACCCATCTCCACCGCATGCAAAACCCAAGCTTGAACTCCTTTGTCTAGTTTGCTTTTCCCTTGTACTCTGGCGTCTCTGGGTCCTTCCTAAATCACCTATGTGTACGAATAATTTACAAGAAGCAGGTGCTAGGTGGAGGGAGCGCAGTGCTTGGCCACGCTGGGAGTCGCGGGAACTACAGCTCCCATCAGGCCCCGCGGCCACTCGGCCCCACCCCGCCTCCCGCTCAGCCCGCGGCGGAGGCGCTGGGCTTTCATCCGCGAAGCGGCGGGAACAAGACGCATCTCCCGGTCGTCTCGGACAATCACAGGGTCGGCAGCAGCCTCAGCCGCCTTCAGCTTCTGCGTCCGCCTCAGAGGCGTTTCCCGGTGCAGCGAGAGATGGTGGTCCGCGTGTTCGTCGCCTCGTCCTCGGGCTTCGTGGCGGTGAGCGGGGCGGGAACGCGGCAGACGCGCGGCGCGCGCCCGTGAGAGACGCGCGGGCAGGTGACTGCCAGGCTTGGACCCGGTGGATGCGCAGGGGTCGCACGCGTGCGCTGGCAGCTAGCGAGGGAGACCGGGAGAGCCAGTCCCCTGCCGCCGCTGCCCGCTCAAGGGGCCCCTTTCCTGAGTTTATAGGTTCCCGACTTGGGACACTTTGTCGGCATATGTTTTTTATGGGAGTTTAGACTACTTTGATTTGCTGACCTGGCGTCTGAAGGAAACACGTTTAAAGCTATTGCTCTTCATGCTCTCGTCCCCCGCAAGTCCATTTCTTTAGTACTACACCTGAGCACAGAGAACAGTAAGGCACTCTTGTCCTGTTAGATCGTAGTAATTTGTTTTCACTGTCGCTTTTTAGCCTAGGGCGTTACAAATACTTTTGTAAGTAAACCTGGGTGCATGTGTCCTTTCCCAGCTCCCTCAGTGCTGTGGTAAATTTCATTTTAGGAATCTATAAATTGTGTTTTCTGTTGTTGGCTATTCTGTTTGTAGAGTGTTGACTTCTTTTAGGAAGTTTTTTATTTTTATTAAAGAAATGAAATAGCTGCAGATGCTATCATTTAAGGAAAATGCACATGTACGCTGGACAGTCCACTGACTGCAGTGAACATGGTGCAGGGGTTCACTGTGATTATTAAACCCGATTTCCCCAGTTAAGACTTATGTTATGGCTTTAAAAGTCTGCTTTGTGAGATACTTAATCAGATATAGAAGAAAGTGCAAGCATGATTGTTCAAAGTTTAGTTTGGCTGGTTGCCTGCCCAGTTGGCAGATTGATTGTCCTAGAATATAAATGGGTGGGGTAGAGATGGAATAAAATACTGCTTGAAAAGCCCCTGTAAACCACTGAAACTTTTAATTTAACCCTCCTTTTTAACTACCCCCATTTTCACCAGACACAATAGATGGGGAAATGCTAGCTTACCTGTATGTGTAGTCTGCATGTTGTGGTTCTCAAACGCCTCACATTTTCAATTATTTTTTCTATTGCTTAGTCATAGGTGACTTTGACAGAGTTTTTTTTTTTTTCTTTTTTCCTGGCTTAAAGCTGAGCCTTGTGAAGCATGTACCGTTTCCCAGGTAGATTTGTTTTTAAATGTATTCCTAACTGTAGAACTTTTGGTCTTGCCATGAACTTACCTGCTTCAGTAATTATTTCAAAAGCACTTTATGCATGTGGAAGGGAGGTGCTATAGTGCTGATCTGCGGCTGTGTTGGGAAAGTCACCGTCTGTTGTCTTATCCATCCTGTATCGTGATTTCATCAATTCCATTAGTACATGTGTTTATTGCCTGCCTACTGTGGGACTTAAGTTTTAGATTTAATGATTTGTACATGGGATGGAATCGAGGAAAGGAGTGTTAGTGCCCTGACTAGTGGAGTGGGGCCAGCAGTGCCCCTGCTCTGCCGGAGTTCCTCTCCTGTACCCTGGCTGATACTGAGGCATTCACAAATGTACTGCACTTTAAAAATGCCTTGGTTCTGTCAGGTGAGCAGATGTCGGGGAATGCTGCTAACAGCTTACTTCAAAGGGGAGTTTCCCACTTTGTTTTTTTTTTTTTTTTTTTTTTTTTTACTGTGTCTCAGATGCCCGTGGTCTGATGTGGTTTCATTTGATTGGGAGGTTACATCCAGTCACCACACAGACACAGCCTGTAAACACTAATTATTCGTTTCAGTCTGCTGTTTGAAAACTTACTCTTTTCAGGTCTCAGAAAAACTCTTAGAGTCTCCTCATTGTGTTTGTAATATCTCCTACTTCATGTGCAGTTTTCTTTGACACTGGCGTTTTAGGTTATATAAAGTTGATGCTTATCTGCAAGGATATTGATTTCTTAGCCATAATGAAGGTGTGTAGGTGAACTCTTGGTTGGGGAGGCTAGTGTACTTACAACATTAAGCTCTGTTAAGGTTTTGGGGGAATGCTGCATTTTCCTTATAGCAATGTCAGGTTAACAATTGGTGGTGTTTATTCTGTACCCATCTGTATCCAGCAAGTATATGGAAAACTAACAATGTTATTCCCGAGTCAGTTTGGTTTTAACCAAGGTGTATTAAACCACAAGGAAGGAATGGGACCAGAATTAGACCTAGCTAAGTAAGTCCAGTTGGCAGGACATTTAAGCATACTGTTTAGAAAAAAGAAAAAAAAATCTCCTATCTCGTGGTTCCCTTGAGTGGTGACTAATGTGAAGGGGTGGGTGCCTGCTCATCTTTCCCAGCTCCAAGTGAGGCCTGCTGTTACTAGGAAATAAAAAGTACACTGCATTATACCATCCATGTTACTGTTAGAGTGAGGATATTTTATTCAGCTTTAAGAAAATCACCATAAAAAGGTCATTTAAAATATTAATTTATTATTCCTATGTACCAATAGCAGAGGCCTCGATAACCTTTGTCTGGGAAATACGTTTATGTGGCTTTAATTTTAAAAGGTTTTTGTTCAATGATGTATTTAACAGAATTTACTTTGGTCTGCCTGGACCCTGCCCAGCGCTGTCCTTGGTTTTTCAGAGAATCCTAGGAGAATACAGGGTGTGGTCTCTTGGAGCGCACAGACCAGGTATGGAGTCTGCTAGGAAAGGTAGTAAAACATTCAGTAATAACCTGCAGCTCAAGGACAAGCCTCCTAAGGGAACACTTATCAGGCAGAAATACTACAGGCAGCAGAGTGACGCCTTGCTGGTTGTAAGATATGGAGGAAATATGCTAGAGTCATAAAATATGCATTTGGAGGCAGCCATCAGGGAGAGGGGTGTGGGAGAGTGCTCCTGAGCCCATTTTTAAAGACTGGATGTAGAGGTGCTCGGGGAGGAGCGGTGAGCAACAGATGCCCCTGTGGACCTCTTTGGGTGACTCTTCAAGTCCCCAAAGGAACCCTGCAAATTCATATTCCACAGTGCTCTGCATCTTGGAGATGTTTTCTGTATCTATGAATTGTCTGCTGCTCGGAGCCTTTTGTCCTTCAGGTAGCAGGGTACCATCCTTCAAGGGTGGACTTCAGGTCTGAGATTCTAGACGACTTCCTTCCTCCTTGCCTTGGATTAAAAGTCTCAAAAAGGGAATAAAGTCTTCATTGAGATGAGAGCTGTGCTTTTGCGTGGATATATCCTTTGCCATTCATTAATGTGTTGTGGCTCAGTTGAGAGTTGGAGGGGAACCTAAAAGTATATACGTGAAGTCCACCCACACAGTTTCACACAGAAGGGAACTTGTGCATAGAGGTGAAGTGGTTTGACCTACTGTCGTTATGTTGTCAGTGCTCAGTGAGATGTAATTGGAAGCCACGTTCCTGCATTGACTGATGCATGTGCTTGTTTTAAACATTGAAAACCAAGGGTCAGGCTCTTTCTCCCTCCTGTATGTTTTATGTGTGTGCTGTATGTGTTTGTATGTGTATGTATGCTGTATGTGTATGTGTGTATGTGCACACTGGCCTGCAGAGACCAGAGGAGGACATCAGATGTCCTGCTGTGTCATTCTCCACCTTATTTCTTTGGGACAGGGTCTTCCACTGACCTTGGAGTTAGGCTGGTGATCAGCAACCCTCCTATCTCTGCTGCTCATAGCACTGGGATTACAGGTATGTGCATGGCTTCCTCTGGCTCTTTAGGTAGGTATTGAAATTGAAACCCAGGTCCTAATGGCTTGTACAGCAAACACTGTTACCCTCTGAGCCCTAACCCTAATACCGAGTTAGGTGGTGTTAGGTGCTACATGCTAGGATGGCCAGGAAAACAAACATGGACCAAATCATTGCTATCTTCATCAAGCTTGGAAACTTAGCATGACAACCATATAGACAAGGAGGACTGATGGTGGCTAGTTGCTAGAATTTGATTACATTGTGTAAAGAAGAAATGAGGAGTTGCTGCCTGGATGCAAAGGAAGTAGGACATGCAGGAAGGGAGGTAAAAGGCATGAGCCACGTGGCAGCATGTAGATTAATATAAACAGGTTAATTTAAGTTATAAAAGCTAGTTAGAAACAAGCCTAAGCTAAGACCGAGCTTTCGTCTCCATGTTGTTATTTGGGAGCTGGCTGGTGGGTGACTCCTTACAGAGGCTTGAGGAATGCTTTCATGAACCAGGGGGAAATAGGCTAGACAATACCAGTATTATACATCTCTGAATGTTGGATAGTCACCATTTGGGAACAAAGGAGATGCAGACGTTGGAAGGAAAGCTGGGAAGTGGAGAGCTTGCTATGGCCTACATTGTGTGTTAAGGTGATTGTGGGTGTGAAGGAGAGAAACACTGCTCAGGGATGCATTGCTCTTTGCAGCTGTGCAGTGTGTCCTTGTTGATGTGCACAACTGGTTATTATTTTAAACATGCAATTACCAGTTCAAGCTGTTGCTTCCCTGTAGAGTACTCAGTGATGCCCTTCTGTAAGAAACCCTTAGGAGAGTTTGAAAGCAGCAAAGGCAGGAGTTGTTCATATATAGTAGCAGGACTCTGTGCTAAGTTGCTTGACTCTGACAAGAGAGAGCAGATGCTTGGGCTCTCAGGAACCTTTACTTATCTTTATTGTTCTTTGGCAAGATAGTTATTGCCATGTCACAGATGAAGAGGCTGGAGAGAACTGTCTGAAACCAGATCATGTTCAGTTGGTGCCCTGACCTGCATTCAAGCCCTAGATGACAGCTGGCTCCTAAGCTAGAGCAGAAGTTCTCACTTTGGTGTCTGTCCTCAGGTACAGTGTATGTGTTGCAGGGATACTGCCATCCTGCAGTTTATAGATTTATTTGCACAAGAGCTGCCCTATAGGCCAGTGGCTCCCTGGCCAGCAGTACCACAGGGCACTGGAGGATAACTGAGGAGCAAGCTTCAGGATGAGGTTGTGCAAGAAGTGATCAGACGAGGCAGGAATAACTTGAGGGCCCAAGGGCATGGAGGTTAGTAGAGACTGTGTGTTTGTTTCCTAGGGCTGTGGGGCTTAAC